TTTTTTTTTTTTTTTTTTTTTTTTTTTTTGGTACCGGGCATCAAACTCTGGTCCTTGCACTTGCAAGGCAGGCAGCGGAACCACTGAGCTAAATCCCTGGCCCTGGTCCAAGCATTTCTGATGAGGCAAGTCAACTTCTGTTTAGTATATTTTTAACGTTGAAAAATAGAAATACAACAACTCTTTCTGTATGCCATCAGTTTGTCACATTTTGTGATATTTAATAAGTTTTGGTCCTTTTTTCCCCATCCACGATCCCAAACTCATCCTAATTCTGCTCCCACCACCCTGCAATTATCATTATAGTTTTATGCACATAAACATTTATCCATGGGGGGTAAACAGCATTATTATAACACTGTTAGTTATAAAAAGTGGTATTTTCTTCGGCCAGGGATTTAGCTCAGTGGTGCCACCTCCTGCCTTGCAAGCTCAAGGTCCTAAGTTTGATCCCTGGTACCAAAAAAAAAAAAAAAGAAAAAGAAAGAAAAAGAAAAAGTAGTATATTCTTTACTTTGCATTCTGGGGATCTCTTTTTCTTCTCACTTACATTGAGAAACCACTGAGTCCTACTAATGCCTTCAAATTAAGCTCAACCTTAAGATTTTTTTGTTGTTTTGGACATATATGTAGAATAAGCTATAGACTTAGTAGTCTTTGTAGATTCTGCTGCCTTTATATTTAGAAATAAGTACCTGCTGTTCCAGGTTGGTAAGGATAGTGTGGTGTTGTGTTTTTCATTGCAGTGCCGGAGATCAAAGCCAGAACCCCATGCATATTAGGCAGGTGCTCTACCACTGAGCTGTATCCCTAGCCTATAATAAATGGTTTGTTTTGTTTTGTTTTTTTGGTATGGGGGATCGAACTCAGGACCCTGCCCTTTTGAGGCAGGTGGTGATGCCACTGAGCTAAATCCCCAGCCTGATAATAAATGTTTTTAATCCACAGCTCCTCTGCCCAGAGCAGCCCCAAGAACTTTTCTCCGTCCTAGTCCTGAAGATGAAGCAATATATGGGTATGTGTTTCTGTCTCTGTCTCTTTTTTTTTTTTCCTTTCTTCTTCTGTGCAGCTAACCTCCTTAACTGAAATCCACAAGAATACTGGGGTTTCCTCCCACATGTGCCTTTCCTGCTACCAGCCTCCTTTAAATAACCCTTATTGGTAGTGTTCATAGGAAAGAGGAGTCATTTATAGGGAAAGCCAAATGCAGAAGTGGGTGAACTTTGTGAGGGTGGTGTGTGCTGTTCACCTAGCTAGCAGCTTCTCCAGAATGTTATTGTAAGTGTTTGCAATGGCCAGAGACACAACTTCCAAGTAGGTAGGTCAGGTATCGCCAGACTCCAGTGCCTTAACTGACTGTAGTGAACGTGATCCACTGGAGACGGGGAGGAGGAGTGCTGCAGAGCTCTGTACTGCAAGAGCCCTCTGGTCCTAGCTGGTCCTAGTGTTAGGGGCAGGGGCGGGATTAGGACCAGCTTTTTCTGGCCTCTGTCTCTATCGACAAGAGCTGTGGTTGCCATCAGGCTTTGCTTTGGAAGAATCTTGAACTGGGGTCTGCCAATTTAAAGAGGGTTAGAGTTAAAATGATTTGGTATTGCATCTTAAATACCTAATGAAAATATGCTACATTTCTGCTTTTTCACCAGTAACGTGGGCCTGCTGACCTTCATCTCACGGTCCCGAGAAGATAAATTTATAGAATAGATGAGAAAAATGAAAGAGTGCTTGGTCAAGTGTAACTCACTTGATAGATACAGCAAGTAAAATCTCTCAGCTGCTAAATTGGGTCCCCTCTTTTAAAAAATATTTTTTGCTGTATGTGTTGATGTACGCCTGTAATTTCAGCCTCTCAAGAAGGTCAGGCAGGAGGTTCACAAGTTGGAGGAAGGCCTGGGCAAGTTAGCAAGATGCTGCCTCAAAATAAAATGCAAAGACTGGTATAACTCACTAGTAAAGTGCTTGCCTAGCATGTGCAAGCCCGGGTCCAATCCACAGCACTGCAAAAATAAAGGGAGGGTAAACAAAATAATAGTAAAATAAAATAAAGGGAGGGTCATGAGAAGGGGGTGTAAAAAGAATTTGGATACATTGTGTACATGTACCAGCATAAAAATTGAAAGAAGAAAAACAGAGCAAAAACACAAAAAATTAAGACTGCCTCTCATCTTTCCTTCCTTAAACCAAAACGATCGCAGCCCCGACACCAAGATGTTGAAGTTCAAGAAGGGAGACAGTGTGGGCCTGCGGTTGGCTGGTGGCAATGACGTTGGATTATTTGTTGGTGGCATTCAAGAGGGTACTGCAGCAGAGCAGGCAGGCCTGCAGGAAGGAGACCAGATTCTGAAGGTAAGGGAAGCCCAGCCGTGCTGCTAGTAGCTTCTTGAACAGAGGGTCGGTCCTTCTCTGGGTGCTCCTCACAGAGGAAAAAGAGCAGCAGGAGGTTTGCTGGTGTCTACCACTAAGGTCTGTGTATTGCTGATGGGTCCTGTGTTCTCAGTCGTGAGAATCCATAACCGATCTCGATGTCAGTGGGGTCTGAATAATGTTTAAAACCCTTGCCAAGGGCCGGGGATTTAGCTCAGTGGTTGTGCTGCCTGCCTCACAAGTGCGAAGTCCCAAGTTTGATCCATAGTTTGATCCAAAAAACCTTGTCATGATTTTTTATCTTTTGTTTTTTTATATGGGGATCGAACTCAGGACTTTGCACTTGTGAGGCAGGCACCCTTGCCAAGATTTTTATTACAGTCACACCTTGGTACTTAACTACTTTGAAACTCCTCGAATTTGGTACTAGCAAAAAAATTTTGTTCCAGTATTTGTTGATTGATGTTCAACGTGTAAGCCAGAACCTGTTGCTATGATTGCCTAGTGAGTCTCTAAACTTTCCAGCCAAACAGTTTGTTCATTACTGGTTGTTTTGGTACTTGTTATGTTTCCTGGAACCATTTAACAAGTACCAAGGTACCACTGTAGTTTGATGAAAGAAAGAAAGGGAGGGAAGGAGGGAAGGAGAGAGAGAGAAAGGAAAACTGAGATTCAACCTGAGAGAAATAAATTCTAAAAAGATCTTGAATTTTTGGTTTTTTGTGTACGACGTTCCCTTTGCCAAGTGTTACTCTTCAAGGCAGTGCCCTGTGGGTGAGCAGACGTGGGTGTGACATCAGACCGTGACCTGAATGCTTCCTCAAATCACCTAGTTTTGTGCTCCAGGTTCCATACCCCTGGTTTACCCCGAGACTTACTGTCTGTGCACATTCAGTGGGTGAGTACCTGTCTCTCCAGAAGTCTGGGAGGACAGGAGGGGTCGCACTTCCAAGGCCCCAAGCAGAGTTCTTGGCACACAGGGAGAGAGGGTCATATTGAAGATAGCACACAGCAGCCACCCGTCTAAAATTGTCCAGCAGTTGGAATTCCTGGTTAATCAAATATCGGTACATTTAAAGGTACTCTATGTTTGCACAATTTATTGATGTTAGATTCTGATTTTAAGATTGGTAATTTTAACATTTTATGAGCTACAAATGTGTTGTTGTTGTTTTTAGTACCGGGGATGAATCAAATGTATCTGTTTTTTAATTGACTTCAGAATAAACTTTAAGAATGCCAGTTACCTGATTACTATAAAAATACGAATGCTAGGGAACTGTGCTTCTTGGAATTTTTGTTCTGCTTCTGGTTTATTTCTTTGTATCCTTGTTAATTTTAGTGGAAAGATTGTAGAGGTCCTGTGAGCATTTCTGAGCTCAAAGGAGAAAGAGGAAAAAAGTCCCAGAATCCCCAAGGAGGCAGACTGCAAAGTACAAAAGCAGATGGCCCCTTCCTCTACGGCACTTGGCTCTGTTTTGGTAGTTCAGATTTCATTTCTGGAGCGGATGAAGGGCAGACCTTGATCATGAGCTTTGCTAAAGCTTTCCAGTGAAATTCTAGCTCTTCCTCAGCTCTGCTTGGGATCCTAGAAGACTCTCTACCCAAGTGAACCTCATGGTAGCACACGGTACTAGGAAACAGGCCCCACCAAATACTCCTGATAAAAACCCCATCCAGATGCCAGCAGGTACCGCTTGGCGCTTGGTAAACGTGCCAGTAAAGAAAGAGCTATTTCTTAGGTAGTGTAAAGCTGTAGGATATCAGCCAGAGATTTGGGGGCTTTTACTCATTTAAAATAGAAGGATAACATATGTTTGTCCTTAAGGGGGCATGAGCTTTTAAAATTTCCTTGATAAACAGTAGTGAATCCCTGTAAGCACCTGGCAGACCTCTCTGTAAGTTGTTATAAAAGAGAGAGAGAGAGTAGCTTTGAGTGGTGAAAAGTCACAGTCCTCCGTGTTTATACTTAAGAAAAAGTATCACTAACAGTGGCAACAAGGAAGAAACTGGAGGCTGGCTTCTTTTGCAGTAACCCTGTAAGGAGGTCCAGCAGGAGGTAGTCTGCTTTGCTTTCACGGGTATAAAAAATTTTCTGCTACCCACAAAAGACACCCTTCGTTCTGTGAAGGGGCGGACAAGATTGAGTTAGCCCACCAGGGTGGGGAAGCCGCTGCACCCTTCGGAGCTGTCGCTGACAGAGAATCCTCTGCAGGCTCGTGGCAGATGCGCTGGACCCTGCAGCCTCCTAAATAGCTAATGAAAGAGGATCTTCATCGCAGAGGACTGTACAGTGTAACCTTCAAGTGCAAAAGTGTTGCTCTGGCTCTTTTCACTTTGGCTTGTTTCTGTCCTGGCCAGCCTGAGTGTAGGAGAACTCTGTTCTGTTCCATTGTGGGCTTTCTCAGCGTGGCTTTTCGCTCTGTGACAGTGATGGCCTTGGGCCTGGCCTGGAAGCCTGAGTGTGTGGAGCCAGAGAGTATAGAGTAGATGCTTTCCCGCAACAACACACTTAGATTTATGTTTTTTCCCTGCTTGGCCTGACTGTCATTTTGCTTATTATTTAATCTAGTATGGTTGACATTTATCTTTCAGAAACTTTTATGGGTTGGAAAAGAGAAAAGAAATATTTTGGGGTTTGGTTATATGGATTTTTAAAATGTAGCCAGCATGTGTGTTTTTATTTTGACCATTCAAGCCTTTGGCCTGTTGAAGGTTGGAGTCACATAGCCGCAGAGATGAGCAGAAGGACCTCTGAGGTCGTCGCCATGATCTTGTCTCCCTTAAATAGGCAAAGACAAGCATGTGCGGCACTTACAGGAACATCCAAGTGGCCATACGTAAATACAGACGTCTGTACACTGCGCAGGAAAGCAGTAGACCCCGAAGTTTGATGATCCCTAATGGGAACCGTGGAACCTAAATGATAAATACTGATCCAAAGGAAAACATAACTTGACTGCTTTAGAGAAAGAACTGGGTTTAGTCTGTTGCCTCCTTTGACTTAATCGCAGATTTTGACCTTAATGGCTAATCCATGATAGGATATTTTTTATTAAAAATCATTTTTGTATGTAATGAAACTTTTTATTGGAACGTGTTTGGAGTAGATAATGATTATATTCATTGCAGGGCATTGGTACATGTGCATAACTCATCTCAGCTCTTTTGTTTTCCTCTTCTAATCCTGTTCTTTTTTTTTTAATGTTTTGCCAGCATCAAACTTATTTTTAAATCTTTATCAAGTTAATTATCGTAAGCACAGATTAAGAGCCAGACTAACAGATCATAAAATAGTTGCACTAAATCAAAGCATACTTTTAAATACATCTGCCGTGGTAGATCGCAATAAAATTTTCCTCATTTTTCCCTAGATTTGTATTTTCTTTTGGTGTTATGAGACAGGGTCTTACTTTGTAATTCAAGCTGGCAGAAACTTTCTATGTAGCCCAGACACACCTCAGAGGCAGGTCTTGAACTTGTGGAAGTCCTCCTGCCTTAGACTATCAGGTGCTGGGATTATAGGCATGTACCACCGTGCCCAGCAGTTTGTCTCTTCTTTTGCATTTTATTTATACGTTGGGTTTCTATAGAGAATCCATTTGATATTTAAGCTTGTGTGTTTGATATACTTCACTAAAAATTATGGTCTCAAGGTGTGTCCATTTTCCTATAAGTGACACAAGTTTATCCTTCTTTATGGCAGAGTAGTATTCCACCTGTATAACCATCCATTGTTGGCCATCCAGGCTGCCTCCAAGACTTAGCTATTGTGAATTGTGTTACTATAAGCATAGGTATGCATATATTACTATAGCATGTCTTTAACTCTTAGGGAAAGATACCTAGAAGGGAGATAGCTGGGTCGAATGCAGTTTTTATTTTTAGCTTTTTAAGGACTCTCCATACTGATTTCCATAGTGGTTGTGCAAATTTGCACTCCCACCAACAGTGAAGAAGGGTTCTTCTTTCCCTTGCAGCCTCTCCAGCATTTGTTGTTTCGTTTCTTGATGATGTATATTCTTATTGGAATGAGGCAGAATCTCAGTGTGTTCATTTGTTTGTATTTTTTGAATGGCCAATGATGTTTAACATTTTTTTTCATGTATATTGGCCATTTGTACTTCATCTGGGAAGTATCTGTTCATTTCTGGTGCCCCTTTTGTCTTTAAATTTGGGGCAGGCACTAGTATTTCTGAGTTTTTCATATATTACAGATATTAGTCCTTTGTCTGAGGAATAGAGAAGAAGCTAGCAAAATTTTTTTCCCAATCATAGGTTGTCTTTTCACTCTGTTGGTGGTTTCCTTTGCTGTGCAGAAGCTCTTTAATTTGGGGTAATCTTGGTATGACTTAGGCAGCCAGCTTTCTGTTCAGAAGGTCCTTTCTGTGCTTACATCTTCAAGAGTTTTACTTGTTTAGTCTTCCAGCAGATGGTTTCTGTTTTAATAGTTAGATATTTTGTCCATTTTAATCTTAGTTTAGTTCATGGTGAGACGTGTGGGTCTAGGTTCAAACTTCAGCATGTGGATAACCAGCTTTCCCAGCACTATTTACTAAAGACTGTGTCTTTCGGCCAGGATGTTTGGTCCCTTGTCAAAGATAAGATGGCTAAATGCCTGGGCTTATTTCTGCACCTGCTGTTGTATGCCATTGATCACATATCTGGTTCTTTCTTTCTTTCTTTCTTTCTTTCTTTCTTTCTTTCTTTCTTCCTTCCTTCCTTCCTTCCTTCCTTCCTTCCTTCCTTCCTTCCTTCCTTCCTTTCTTTCTTTCTTTCTTTCTTTCTTTCTTTTTTTTCTTCTTTCTTCTTTCTTCTTTCTTTCTTTCTTTTTTGCCAGAACCATGCTGTTTTTGTCACTGTAGCTTTGTGTAATATAATTTGAAATCTGGGATCATGATGGTTCCTGCCTTGCCCTTGTTGCCCAGAGTTGTTTTTGTTATTTGGGTCTCTTCTAGTTCTTTATACATTTTAGGATTGGTTTTTCTACATATGTGAGGAACGCTATTGGCATTTTGAGTGAGATTGAATTAAATCTGTGTGTCAATTTTAGAAGTATGACAATTTTAACTATATTGTTCTCCCTATCCAGGAACGAGGGATGTCTTTCTGTTTTTTTTTTTTTTTTTTTTTTTTTTGGTGTTTTTGCTTTTTTGGGGGCGGTACTGGGTATCAAACTTGGATCCTTGTGCTTGCGAGGCAGGAGGTGGAACTACTGAGCTAAATCCCCAGCCTCTAGTTTTGATTTTTTGGAGACAGGGTCTTGCTACATAGTACAGGCTGGCCTTAAACTCACTATATAGGCCAGCTGGGATCAAACACACAGCAATCTTCCTGTCTCAGCCTCCTTATTGCTGGGATAACAGTACCACTACACCCGGCTTCCATTTTCTTATGTCCTCTTCCGTCTCCTTTTCCAGACAACTGTAATTTTCAATATAAAAGTCTTTAACTTCCTCAGTCAGGTTAATTCCTAAGTGTTAGATTTTTTTTCTTAATGTTATTGTGAAAGGTATTATTTCCCTAGTTTTTCTCTTAGTGAGTTTATTACCAATGTACGGGAATGCTATAGATTTCTGTGTGTTGAATTTTTTTTTTTTTTTTTTTTTTTTTTTTTTTTGTACCAGGGATTGAACTCGGGTCCTTGTGCTTGCAAGGCAGGCCACCGAACTGCTGAGCTAAATCCCTGCTCTTGTTTGTTGAATTTGTATCCAGCTATGCTACCTGATTTGGTTATTAATTCTAGGAGTCTTTTGATGGAATTTTTTTGGGTCTTCTGTGTAGACAATCATTACACCTGCAAGCAATGATAATTTAACTTCTTTTCTATACATATCCCTCTTTTTTTTTCTTCCCTGATTGCTCTTGCTAATGTTTCGAGAACTGTATTGAATAGGGGTGATAATAGCAGACATCCTTGTCTTATTCCTGATTTTAGAGGGAAAGCTTTCAGCTTTTCCATATTTAGTATAATTGTTGGAGTAGATTTGTCATAAGTCATGCTGATAAAATGGTTTTTTAATCAGATTGAGATAAAGACCTTCTATACCTATTTTCTTCAGGGATTTTTATCATGAAAGAACGTTGGATTTTGTCAAAGGCATTTTCTGCATCTATTGAGATGATCATGTGATTCTTGTCTTGGCTTCTGTGTATGTGCTGTGTTACATTTAATGATTTGCATAAGTTGAACCTTCCTGCATTCCTGAAATGAATCCTACTCGATCATGATGTACATCCAGTCTTTTTGATGATTTGCTGTATTGTTTTCCAGTGTCTTATTGAGTATTTTGTATCTATGTTCACAAAAAAGGCTGACATGTAGTTGTCTTTTTTATCTGGGTCCTTTTAGAACCAGAGTAATACTTGCTTCCAGGAATAACTTTGGAAATACTGAGTTCATTTTGATTTCATGAAAGGGTTTGAGGAATATTGGTGTTAGATCTTCTCCAGAGTTTTTGTAGAATTCGGCAATGAATGCATCAGGACCTGGGCTTTTCTTAGTTGGTATTTTTTTTTTTTTAGTTGGTATTTTTTTATTACTTGTTCAGTTTCATTGACTGATATTGGATTTCTCAGGATAAAGCATTCTTTTTAATGAATGAAAGGATTCTTCATTTTTCAGTGACAATATATCTTGTAGGAATTCTGTATCTTCTTTTCATTTATGTTATTACAATGTCACATAATTTAAAATAATTTTTGCAATTCATTCGTAATTATTTTAAGCTAGTTGTAAAAGTATAGAATTATGATTTCAAAATGTTTTCTTTGTAGTGCCCTTGTTTGACTTACTTCTAAACGAAATTTCCCAAAGCCATTTAAGTGTTCCTTGTGCAGTCATTGCAGTGTAAATGTTGTGGGCTCCGTGCCAGAAGCAGGCATAGGCAGCAAATATATATATATATAAGGGCGTATGTTAGACCAGTGGTATGCCATATGAGACTGATGCTCTTGAATTTCGTAATATCCTTTTTTTTTTCTTTCTTTTTTTTGGTACCAGGGATCAAACTCAGGACCTTGAGCTTCGAAGACAGGTGGTGGAACCATTGAGCTAAATCCCTGGCCCTCATAATACCTTTTAATTTCATAAGCTCATGTGAAGTATATTTTAGGTGATCAGTACTATAGGAGAAAGATGGTTAGATCTTTGGTTGTAAAATTTGTTTGAACCTGTTTTTTTTTTGTTTGTTAGTTTTGGTACCAGGGTTCAAACTCAGGACCTTGTGCCTGTGAGGCAGGCATGGTGCTACTGAGCTAAATCCTCTGCCCTGAACCATTTTTTTAAAAAACATGAATCATGGGCCAGCATTCATGGGGGTGTGGGGTCAAGAGGGAGAGAAAGCGAACAAGAATTTGCAGTTGATGTAGTGATGAGTACTGGAGTTAGTGGTCTCCCTGACTGGCATTGTGTCAGGATGAGATAAGACAGTCATGCCCCCACAGGTGCTGGGGAGGACTGGAATAGAAACTCTGAGGACTTGTTTAAGGAGAGGCCTGGTTTTGCTTTCAGAGTCCTGATGAAAAAACACATGAAAATGTTCAGATAACACTGTACTCTAATATCCTCTCTTATTTTTCCCTCTGATTTTTTTCTTTCTTATCAGGTCAATACACAGGACTTCAGAGGAATGGTTCGGGAGGATGCTGTTCTCTATCTCTTGGAAATCCCCAAAGGTGAAATGGTGACCATTTTAGTTCAGAGCCGAGCTGATGGTGAGCATGTTTGGTCTCTTAGTTTACTTTGGGTGAGAGGGAAGTATGAAAGAGCACATTAAATAATTAAGGCAGGTCCAACATTTAATCCTTGGATCTCAGGTATATGGGGAAAATTTGGGTGCAACTTAATTTCTCCAAAGATGTTTTCTCTGTACTTATTACAGTAATTTCTCTAGTTCTGTCAATTTGGAATCAAATGATTTTTCCCAACAGCGATACATCCTTAAGTTCATCTTGGAGTTATTGGGTATCCATCTGGCAGATGCTAAGAGCTACAGTTGTTATTGGCTCCTCCTTTACCTCTTCGCAGTCTGACAAGTAGATCTACCTTTCAGTGCCCTGTGCTTGTCTGTGAAGTGGGAGGACATCCTACCCATCTGTTTCAGAGGGCTTACTAGCAACTAAACTAGTTAGGGCTCTCCAGAGACCCAGAATGAGTAGGAGATATTGGAACCAATGGGAGATAGAGATTTATTTGAAGTAATTGGTGCACATCATTATGGAGGCTGGTAAGTCCCAAGATCTGCAGGGTGAGTGGACATATTCCTTGGCTTTCTTGTTGCTGGGACCAAGTACCTGACACCCACAATTTAAACAAGTTTATTTCTCTCACAGTTTCAGTGGATTCAGTCCATGGTCAGTAGTACAAGGACATGGCAGAGCAAATCTGCTTAGTTCAGGGCAGTCAGATACCAGAGCAGGGAGACAGTGCCAGAGAGGAAGGGGCAAGGGACCAGACATAGACCCCACAGTCACGCCTCCTCGGTCCACCCAGACACACTCAGAAGTGCACTTCACTAATCCCCTTGGAGGTTCCCAAGCCAAACAAGTTGACAGCTTGACTTAGCCATCATGGCAGGCAAGCTGGACACCAAGGAAAGCAAAGAATTTAGTTCTAGTCTAAGTATGCCTGAGAATTAAGAGAGGTATTGGTATATTTCTAGTACAAAGGCAGGGAAAACGTGCTGTCCTCCTTGGAAGTCCATTGGGCAGGAAGAGCAGAAGTGTTTTATTTGAGAACAAGTCTGAGTGAGTCTGCTTTTTGTCCAGCCGATTGGATAAATGTCCCCCACATTAGGGAGGAAAACTTGCTTTACTCAATCTCCCTATTTAAATGTTTGCCTCATCTCAACCCCTCACCCACAGACACAAGTAATGATTGTTTGCTCAAATGTCCGGTTAAGTTGACACATAAAATTAATCATCACAGCAGCTTACAGAGTTACTCACTCTTCTTTTGGTGCTGGATTTCTGTGAAGCCTATACAGTGTGGTCACTGGACAGAGAGAAGGTGAAGAGGGTAATCAGAGATGGGAGAAGCTGGTAACCCAGGAGAGGTCTTTCACGAAGCCCAGTGCAGCACACAATGCTTTTGTCTTTCAGTGTTCAGAGATATCCTGGCTTGTGGCAGAGGTGATTCATTTTTTATAAGGACACACTTCGAGTGTGAGAAGGAAACTCCACAGAGCCTGGCCTTTACCCGGGGGGAGGTCTTCCGAGTAGTGGACACGCTGTATGATGGCAAGCTGGGCCACTGGCTGGCTGTGAGGATTGGAAATGAACTGGAGAAAGGCTTAATCCCCAACAAAAGCAGGTATCTGGATTGTACATTCCCATGCACACCTTTTGTCCTTCCCACTGGGAAGAGCAGTCGACCCCACCAAAAGGAAATCCCACACGCCTTCCTTGTGTGTTTATGGGGAGCAGCCTGGAACTATGACTAGCCACCTGTCCATGTGCTATGAGTACTTAGCTACACCTGTGGCTGTGTTTGACGACTTCCTGAGGAGTGTCCAAGGCCTTGCACAGGACACACAGTAGGTGCTGAGTGGCTGTATGCACCCGCACACATCTGATTGCCATCTTTGGGAGTGGCTTGTGTAATACAGAAACACTTTCTGAAGCTGCAGGAATTTGGGGAAGATACCTGTGTTTTAGCAGGAGTTCCGGGTGTGTTTTCTATAATCTAAAGCGGATGAGCTGAAGTTGGTGTGTTTTATCACCAAGTTACTTCTCATGGGCTTCACAGCGACCCTGTCTTTTTCTGCTTCTGTGGGGAAGTGAAGATCCCTACATCTTTCCCTTGGAAATAACTTCATTGTCAAGCTGAATATTCCTCTAACCATTCTTAAGTAAAAGTGACTAGGTCTGGTTAACGGAAGGCATGTGAGCTGTATTTCCTGTCTTCAGAGATTTGCTTCCCATGGTTTCTTCTCTCAGAGCTGAACAGATGGCCAGTGTCCAGAATGGCCAGAGGGATAACGCCGGGGACAGGGCAGACTTCTGGAGAATGCGTGGTCAGAGATCTGGGGCAAAAAAGAACCTGAAGAAGAGCCGAGAAGACCTGACTGCTGTTGTGTCTGTGAGCACCAAATTCCCAGCATATGAAAGGGTTCTGCTGCGAGAAGGTGAGGAACTACCATTTTCAAACTAGAACAGTCAAGTTATAGCTTACCTGTATCACTTACTCAAAAGCTGCTGAAGAGTTGGAATCGTACTCTAATAAGGAAGGAAGCTGTTCAGGCTCCTCAAGGAGGCAAATTCCATAACCTAGAAAGACTTTCAGGGCCAGGGATTTGGCTCAGTGGTGCCACGCCTGCCTCAGAAGCAAAGGTCCTGAGCTCGATCCCCAGTCCTGGGAGGAAAAAAAAAAAGGTTTTCAGTGCTACCATTGAAAAGTTTTTATATGTTGCCTACAGCAACATTATCTTTAAAAATGGTGAGGCGAATGGTTGAGGGCCTATTCTCCAGGAAAGAAGTGGGTTCCATTGAGGGTAGGAGAATACACAATTTTTTTGATTTATTTTCAAAACCCGATGTAATATTTTTGCCTCTTATCCTAACAGCTAGGTATGTGTATGTATTAATGACCTTTCTTTTCTCATTTCAGCTGGTTTCAAGAGACCTGTGGTGTTATTTGGTCCCATAGCAGATATAGCAATGGAAAAGTTGACAAATGAGTTACCTGACTTGTTTCAAACTGCTAGTAAGTCTGTCTGTGATGTTTTCTCCATACATTTTTATTTTCAAAAATATCTAACCTGCTGAGCATGCCCTTCACCTGGAGTCACTGGCTGTTAGCATTTCGTTCCATACACTCTTTTCCTCCCCCGATTCCACTTGTAGTCACACACATGCACGCTTTCCAGCATTTCTGCAGAGCCATTTGAAAGTTGACATTGCAGATGTTTTATCCCAGAGTGTACGTGTGAGTCTCCTAGGAACACGACTGTTCTCTGACGTGATCACAATTCCCTCATCAGCTTGGTGATGGAGAAATTTAACATTGATACGATGTTATAGATTGAGCGTCCCTAATCTGAAGTACAGAATGCTCCAAAACCTGAAACATTTTGAGCACCAACATGATGTGTCACATGTGGAAAATTCTGCACCTGACCCTGTAACAAAATACAAGCCCACTGAAAACATTGTATGAGATTACCTTCAATCTGTATGTACCTGCTATGTGTGAAAAGAAATAATTTTGATGTTTAGACTTGGTTCCATTTCCTCGATATCTTGGTTTTTATATATGCAAATATTATAAAATCCAAAACACTTCTGGCCCAAGCATTTCTTTCATATTTTTTTGTTTTTTTTTTTGGTACTGGGGATCGAACTTGGGACCTTGTGCTTGCAAGGCAGGCGGCAGAACTATTGAGCTAAATCTCCAGCCCTGGTCCAAGCATTTCTGATGAGGAAAGTCAGCTTCTATGTAGTATATAGTCTGTTTTTCAAATTTCCTCAGTTGTCCCAAATTCTTCATTCTTTTTTTTTTTTAAATCAGTAGATGACCAAGGATCATGCATTCCATTTGATTTTTATGATTTTTCTTACGTATTTTTATTCCCTTTCCTCTAAATTACTTGGGACATTGATACAGTGCACCCTTGACTTGTGAACTCAATTCCCTTTGGAGGGCTGGTTATAACTCAAGTTGGTTGTAAGTCAAGGCTATTTTTCCCATAATAAATAATGGAAACACACATAATATATTTGAACTTTCCAAAGCACCCCTTAACTGACCTTTTCATAATAAAAAGGGTTGTATAATGTGCATAATTTACCAGAAAAGCCAATAACTTTCCTAATATATTTACCAAAAAGTTATAAAGTGGGCCTAGTTTATCAGAAACAACAATTTCATACTGTACTCACCATTCAAGTTGACAACTTTGGCCTGCAGGAAGGGAAGGTGGCTATTGTTTGGAAGGCAAGCCCCTTGCATTTTAACATCAGGAATCTGACTCTCTGGTGTCCTTTCTCTCCTTGAGACCCAGTTGGACTTGTTTCTGGCTCACCAGGTCTCAGCCTTTTCCGAGCTATACACTTGTCTAAAGTTTTCTGTTTCTGTCTTTAGCACTTTTTTTTTTTTTTTTTGTACCAGGGATTGAACTTGGGTCCTTGTGCTTGCAAGGCAGGCCACCAAACCGCTGAGCTAAATCCCCAGCCCCCCTGTCTTTAACACTTGGGTAGTATTACATGAAATTGTCATTAAGCAAATGAATGCAACAAATGGCTTTTTCTCTGTCTGGGTGAGTCTTCTCTACAAATTTAGCTCTGTCCATTTTTTTCAGGATTTCCTTTATTTCAGAAGAAGAACTTTGCTGCAGATTGTTTTGTTTGTTTATTTGTTTGTTTGTTTTGGTACTGGGGATCGAACTCAGGACCTTGGAGGATACAAGGGATCAAACTGTGGACCTTGTGCTTGCAAGGCAGGTGGTGGAACCACTGAGCTAAATCTCCGGCCCTGCACTGATTGTTGATACTCCCCCTCTTCAGAAAGCTCCTTGGCTGCCCTTCTTTGTTGCTCAGCCAGGAGTTGCTGCAGCTCCTCTGTAAACAATTCCTCTGCGTGTTCCTTCCCCAGTTCCTCGGCATCACCACTGTCTACCTGTACAGCCTGTGGACTCTGCTATAGTGACAGTGTTGTCAGCTACACCATCAGTTGAAGGCTCAGGCTCCTCTTCACAGCCTTCAAAGTCTCTCTCCTGTATAATTTTAGGCCATACTTTCTTTCAGGCAGATCTCAGTGTCCTTAGAAAGACACTGGCCTAGGACTTCTCAACCTCATACAAGAAAGACTGGCATTCAGCTTGTAACGCAAGACTTTGGTTGAAAGTTAAAGCTATAGTTAGGTTCATAACACAAGTTGTTCTTATGTGAGACCAGTATAACTCAAGGGCCCACTATATTTTGAAGAGCCCAAACCAAAGAACGTTCCCTTTTGGAATGCTTGTTTTCCTCCATGGTTAGAATTCGGATAAGCAGGGCTGGGAGTAGAGTTTGGAGGTAGAGCCCTTGGCTAGCACACGTGAGACCTATGTGTGAACCTCAGCACTATAGTGCTGTCATATAGTTAAATAAATGATGTGTCCCTTCCCATTATTTCTCATGGGGTCGGGCATCCCATCATTACTGATGCAAGTTGGAGCTTTTGGAATGCACTGATTTCTAAACGAATCATTTATGTTTGCCATTTCAGAAACAGAACCAAAAGATGCAGGATCTGAGAAATCTTCTGGAGTAGTTCGATTAAATACTGTCAGGCAAATTATTGAGCAGGTGAGAAAACCCATCAATAAGCCATGTTGTCAGAAAGAATTGAATAAGTTTTCTGCAATTGATTTTTAGTATTGAAGCTGTCATTTAAATGTTAGTAATAAAAGTGAATGTAAATGCAAACTATTTTGCTGTTTGGAATGTTTTGATTCTTCTTTTTCAGTATTCTAAACATTCTACCAAATATATGATTTTTTTTTGTATTGAGGATTGAACTCAAAACCTTCACATTGAACTACATCCTTAGCACTTTATTTTCTTCTGAGACAGGGTCTTGCTAAGTCGCTAAGTTGTATAGGCTGGGCTCTAATTTGTGATCCTTTGGCCTCAGCCTCCCAGAGTGCTGGGATTACAGGCATGCCCTGCCGCACCCAACCTAAATAACCTTTTAACAATAGGACCCCCAGTCTGAGGAGGTTATATGTTCCAGGACTCTGCTAGACGTCTAAAACCATGAGTAGTACTAACCCTACTGATGCATAATTTTTCCTGTCCTTACACACCTATGATAATGTTTAATTTATAAATGAGGCACATAAAGGTATTCAGCACATTGAAGTAATAAATAATAATAAAATAGACCAATTAAACAATAATATACTATAATAAAATTGTGTGAATGTTATCTTTATCAGAGTATCATGTTATACTCTACTCTTGTTTTTGCTAGCTGTTGATCTCAGGTAATTGAAACTGGAGAAAGTGAAATTCGAAGTTCTAACCAGTTGATTATAATGAAGTAGACATAATGTGGAAAGAAATGTTTTTTTAATTTAAATGTACACATGTTTCTGGCACAGCACTTTGATATTAAAATGAAGTCTTCGTGATAACCGTAGTGTGTTACATACCCACCTATGTATCTTCTCCCCACCTGTAACAGGATAAGCATGCACTGCTGGATGTAACTCCAAAAGCTGTTGACCTGTTGAATTATACCCAGTGGTTCCCAATTGTGATATTTTTCAACCCAGACTCTAGACAAGGTATTAAAACGATGAGACAGAGGTTGAATCCGTCATCCAACAAAAGTTCTCGAAAGCTATATGATCAAGCCAGCAAGCTCAAGAAAACTTGTGCACATCTTTTTACAGGTATGTAAAAATTTATTATTATTATTTTTTTTTTGGTACCAGGGATTGAACTCGGGTCCTTGCGCTTGCAACGCAGGCCACCGAACCACTGAGCTAGATCTCCAGCCCCTGTAAAAATTTAAATATAGCCTATGATCAAAAGAGAAATAGAGAACTGAAAAATGGAAGAAAAAATAATCTGACTGGAGAATTAGAGCTTCTCCTCCTTGAAAAGTACTTCGTCTTGTGAAATGATTTATTAGATACTTGACATTTTCATATTGAACTTTGTAATTTTGATCACAAATGACATTGGTCATCTTGACAAGGTTCAGTTCTCCGTGTGGGACTGCAAAGCTAGTGATTGAATAGAGCTCACAGCCTGTTACCCACATTTCGGCACAGATGGTGTGTCATTGTTTTCCTCTTACCTTCAATGTATGTAACTTAGAGTGATAGGAACTTGTTTTGCTAGGAGGAAGTCATCCATTGGGAACTAGATTTCTGTGAATGTAGTTTAAAGAGCTTGTGCTTTTCTTACATTCATATGTATCTTTTCTGTCATTTTTACTACTTCTTATGGTGTAGATTCAGAATGTCCGCCAAAAGTCTCATGTGTTCACAGGTGGGGATTTGGCTCACAGGAACGCTATAGAGTGGTACCTCAATTTACAAACTTAAATTCTTTGTGTGATTCTGGTTGCAGCTGAATTGCAAGCATAGTACATGTAACCACTGTATTCCTCAGTGGATTAACCCATTGATGAGTTTGTACCTGAATGTGCTGTTAGGGGATGGGGTCTGGTCAGAAGAGGTGAGTCTCTGAGGTTGTGACGTGGGTGTATTTGTGTCCCAGCTCCTCCCTTTGCTTGCTCTGCTTCTTGGCTGCCATGGGGTGAGCAGCTTTCCCCTACCAGTCCCCTCCACCGTGAGGCGTTTGCATTGGAGCCAGCCATCCACAGACTGAGCTTTCTAAAACTGTGAGCCAAAATGAATGTCTCCTCCTTTAAGTTTTGTGTATTGATATTTTGTCCCAGTTACAGAAAAGTGACGGATACACTTCTAATAGTGTTCATTATCATTGCTGTTATGATGGCAGTGGTGAACTGTGGTACATCTTTTCCTGTGCTCTGTCATCCTGTGGCAGATAAAGGGCCAGTTTCAGCTGCGTAATTGCAGATCCTACTGTGTGGTTTGAGCCTAGAGTAGAACTGTGGCATCCCTGGTACTTTGCAGCACAGACATACAGTATTCTAGTACTAATTAGAATTAGTAATTCTAGTGCTGAAAGGGGTCATAGACAGGTCAGTCATCCTTTCTGCAAAACACTTAGGATCAGAAATGTTTCAAATTTTGGACTTCAGAGTATTTTCATAT